GCGAGGGGGGCTGCTGCAGGCGCCGCGCCTGCTGCTGCTGCTGCTGCTGCTGCTGCTGCTGCTGCAGGTCCGACGTAGTGAGGCTGCAGCGCCCGGGGCGCACTAGGTCCGGCCGCGCTCTTGCTGCTGCTGCTGCTGCTGCTGCTGCTGGGCCCCAGCACATTGATGGGAACACGGGGGACTGGCGGAGGAGGCTGTCGCGCGGAGTTGGGGGCAGAAGAGGGCAGCCTCGCTGCTGCTGCTGCTGCTGCTGCTGCTGCTGCTGCTGCGCTGCTGCGCGGCGTGTCTACGAAGCGCGAGGGGATGTAGCGGATTTCATTGGGTCTTGGAGAGGGGGGGTCTTCGGTGAGAAGAAGGGGGCCCGTGGGGGGGCCCCCCCCCTCGCGCAGAGTGCCCCCGGGGCCTCGGGGGGTCCCCCTGCAGTCTGCAGTCATTGTGGGTTGAGGGCAGGGGGCAGAGGGCGTGCGGGTGACCAGTGGTCAGGACCAGTGGTCACATTGCGCAGCAGCTGCAGCAGCAGGCGCGGCGGGGGGCCAGCAGCAGCGGGCGGCGCAGCAGCGCCGCAGCAGCGGAGGCGCAAAGAAACGGCGAAGGGGCCTTTGCTGTTGTTTAGAAAGGAAAAGTTCAAGAGAGAACAAGAGCGGGGTCTATTGCTGCGCTGCAGCTGCTGCAGCTGCTGCTGCTGCTGCGGCGCTGATCGCTAGCCGGCGCGGCGCGGGCGGCGTCGCGGCGAGATCTGCAATTGAAAGGTCTTTGGGGATTTATTGGACAAAAAGGCAAAAGAAAATAAACAGCCAAGTCCAAAAGGCTGCAGTTTGGCGGCAGCTGCCCAGCGGCGGCCGCTGCCTCCGCCAGCGAAGCCGATCTCCCGGCGCGACGAAAGCACCGGCGAAGAAGCTCCGAAAAGCTTCGTCGGCGCTCCAAACAACAAACTTCTTCAGAAATTATAATTAAAACGCAACTTAAGAACAATTCACAAGTCCGTCTGCGGCGAAAGCGCCGCTCTCCCCGCTCCGCGCCAGCCGCCCGTCGATTCGGCAACTCCTGCTGCTCCGCGCTCCCCCAAAAACGCTCTCCGCCGCAAAAACAAAAGAAATGCACTTTTTATTTATCTGTTCGTCGAGTTCAGTGCCGGCTTCACGGCCGGATGCGCGTTACGCCGGGGTGTACAGACAGCGTGTCGGCGCCCGTTCGGCGAAAGCAGTGTTCCGGAATCCTGCACACTTGTGTCCTAAAGCGGCCTTAAGCGCTCATTTTTTCCGCACGAATATCTAAAGTTGAATTATTTCAGTAACAAAAGCCTATTTCCTGCGCTGCGAGCGGCAGATCAGCCCGAACTCGCTGCTGCTGCGCCCCGAACTGCCGCGGCAATGCAGAAACCGGGGCCCTCCGCGCCCCCCCCGGGTTTCCCGGGGCCCCGCTGCTGCTGCGGGATCACTAGCTGCTGCAGCAATTAGAAATGAAGTACAAATTCGAAAAGCAAAGTTGCAGTTGCAGCCAAGTTCGAACTGGCGCTCAAGACGCCTCAAACCGCCCAAGACGGACTCCTCCCTCGCCCGCAGCTGCAGGGCATTCGTTGGAATCTCGCGAGTTATTTTCTTCTTTTGAATTTCTTCACTTCTTTTCTTTTCCCAACATTGTTTGCAGCGCCTGCGCAGGCCTGCAGCGCTGCCTTTTGCTGCTGCTGCACTCACTCGCGCATGCATGCAGCAGCGCCTTCTGCATGCACTCTGCGCAGCAACTCGCCCCGGAGCTGCTTGCTGCACCCCCGCCTGTCTCTGCTGCCAGGCCCGCAGCTGCCCGCCCCTGGCTAGGCAAACTGGCCTGCAGCAGCAGCAGCAGCAGCAGCAGCAGCAGCAGCAGCAGCAGCAGCAGCAGCAGCAGCAGCAGCAGAGCAGCAGCAGCAGCAGCAGCAGCAGCAGCAGCAGCAGCAGCAGCAGCAGCAGCAGCAGCAGCAGCAGCAGCAGCCGGGACCCAGCCAGCCACCACTGACGAGAGGCCAGCCCGTAGCCGCATGCAGCCCCAAGTGAAATGACTGCCAGTTTATTTTGGTTCTTATTTTTATTTATTCATTTATTTAAATTTATTTATTTCTTTCATTTCTTGCCAGCCACTCTTGTCACTGTAAAAGTGCTCCTGAGCAAATTCCCGCCCGTAAGCCACCGCCAGCAGCGGGACGCCTGAAAGCCGCAGCACGCAACAGCAGCAGCAGCAGCAGCAGCAGCAGCAGCAGCAGCTGAGGGGCGCCGCACTGCAGCAAAACTGCGGCCCCAAGGGGCCCTCTGGGGGCCCTGCGGCCCCACCCGCGGGGTGTCTATACACCTCCGGGTGTTTAGACGCCTCTAGGCTGTCTAGACACCTCTGAGGTGTCTAGACACCTCCGGGCTGTCTATACACCTCAGGTCGGGGTGCCTGTACACCCCAGAGGTGTATAGACACCCCGGAGGTGTACAGACACCCCGGAGGTGTATAGACACCCCGCAGGTGTATAGACACCCCGGAGGTGTCTCGACAGCCAGTCGCGGTGTCTGTACACCCCGGAGGTCTCTGGACAGCCAGCCGAGGTGTCTGTACACCCCAGCGGTGTCTGTACACCCTGCAGTGTCAGTACAGCCTGGGGTGTCTGTACAGCGTGGGGTGTCTGTACAGCCTCGGGTGTCAGTACACCCTGGGGTGTCAGTACAGCCTGCGGTGTCAGTACACCCTGGGGTGTCTATACACCCTGGAGTGTCTTTACAGCCTGGGGTGTCTGTACACCCTGGGGTGTCTGTACACCCTGGGGTGTCAGTACAGCCTGCGGTGTCAGTACACCCTGGGGTGTCTGTACAGCCTGGGGTGTCAGTACAGCCTGGGGTGTCTGTACACCTTGGGGTGTCAGTACACCTTGGGGTGTCTGTACACCCTGGGGTGTCTGTACACCCTGGGGTGTCAGTACAGCCTGCGGTGTCAGTACACCCTGGGGTGTCTGTACAGCCTGGGGTGTCAGTACAGCCTGGGGTGTCTGTACACCCTGGGGTGTCTGTACACCCTGGGGTGTCTGTACACCCTGGGGTGTCAGTACAGCGGCCTCACCGAGGAGCATGCAGGCCCAAAAGATGGCGTTTGCGAGGCAGCGGTTGTGCGTGTAGTACCGCCCCAAGGCCACCAAAGGGAGTTGAAAAAGCATCAGCGCAAAGAGGTAGAACCGCACGAACCGCAGGCACACGGCCTGCAAGCAGCAGCAGCAGCAGCAGCAGCAGCAGCAGCAGCAGCAGCAGCAGCAGCAGCAGCGGTAAATGAGTCTTTCGCAGCAAAAGGCAGGAAAGACAAACTTGTGGCAGAGACAAATTTGAAATTCTTTTTGCAGATTTCTTTTTCTCTTTGGGCCAAGCGCAGGAAATTCGCGAGAATATTTCGTAATTTGTACTTGAAATTAAATTTGAATTTTAATTAAAATAAAATAAAATAAAATAAAATTTAAATTTAAATTTAATTTCAATGCCACTCAAAACAAACAGCTTTCTCACCATTATCATTTCGTGGAGAAGAGCGGAAAAGAGGAAAGTGGCGAGCGCGGCGCTGCGTTGGCTCCACTGCAGCAAACAGAAATAAAACAAAAATGAAAATTGAAAACAATTAAAAATAAATTAAATTAAACTATTCAATTGTGGCTGCAAAACAGCAGCAGCAGCAGCAGCAGCAGCGGCAGCGGCAGGCAAGACAAGACAGCAGCAAAAGCAAAAAAAGCGCGAGCACAGCGACAGCAGCTGCTGCAGCTACAGTAGCAACCACAGCAGCAGCTGCAGCAACAGAAGCATGCCAGCAGCCACAGCAGCAGCAGCAGCAACAGAAGCATGCCAGCAGCCACAGCAGCAGCAGCAGCAGCAGCAGCAGCAGCAGGACCCTGTATTTTTGCTGGGTTTCCATGTAAACGTGTCTCAGGAGGAACTTGTGAACTGGCCTGTTCCACTTGCGAGAATATTCGTCCCAGTTGGTGCTGTTCCACCAGTCCTGCAGTTGCGCAGCGCAGCAGCGGGGTGTACGTACACCTGAACTTTGGCGGCGGCGCGGCCGCCGAGTTCGCCGCGGGAAGCTCCACTTCTTTGCATCTCGACTCTTCTTCGAACTTCATTTCTTTTCTTTTTTAATTAAAAAGGACTTTTAAAATTGCTGGCGCGGAGAAATCCCTTTCTGCTGCACTTTGCCTTTCGGCACTTTTGGCAAGTCCGAAGCAGCAGCAGCAGCCGCCGGAAGCGCGGGAAAGCCGGACTTGAGGACTTGTTAAATTGAATTGAATTGAATTAATTCATTGAATTAAATTAAATTAAATTAAATTAAATTAATTGCTTCAAAAGAAACTCGAAAACCCCTTTTGCTACTGCTGCTGCTGCTGCAGCAGCTCGCGGAAATTCAACAAGTGCCCACGTGGTAGAAGTCGCGGTTGGCGAAGTTGGTGATCTCCGCGAGCAAGTTGCAAATGCATTCGAAAAGAATAAAAAAAATGAGAAGATCCAAAAACAAAAAAGGAAATATCAAACTGAAGATCGCCTCCAGTAGAGACACCTGAGGCGACCGGCTTATTGTCGGAATCAAGTACGAAGTGCACGCCAGGTACATCACTGTCTGCAAACAATCACAATCTTTTTATTTGCAGTTTTAGTTTTAATTTAATTGCAATAATTCTTATTTATTAGTCAAACTTATTTGCAATTATA